CCTGGTACAAGTCTTATGATATCTCTACTGTCATTTTGTTGCTAATGCTTTGGATCGGTTTTTTTCTTCTTTTTTTTCTAGCTGTGAAGATGTTATCTATTCAGGATCCTCTTCTTATTTGCTTTGGATTCTTAATTGTAATATCCACCATCTTTATATTGCATTTCAAAGTGCCTCTTGCTGCTTTTGAACGAAGTAAATCAATATCTGCATGATTAACATGAATCTACAATGAAAGATTTTCTTGTTTTCATTTCATGCCTTGAGGAAATACATCCCTTTCCGTCATGGTGCTTTTCAGATAAAGTTCGATTGTAAATACATTTTTGCAAGATATTAGCTCTATATATTGATGTTTTCAAATACCTTTCCCCATATGGTGATGCTTATTTAAACAATTACGTATCTTATGGACGTATCTTATAACATTTCAATGTAGGCTATTTAACGAATAATTCACGCAGAATTATTATAATTTGATGTAGTCGTAAAATAAAACTCTCTGCTGATGGAAATGACTAAAGAATAGGAATAAGAATAACATGATCTCTGTGAATGTAAAGCTTCACAGCCATAAACTACCATATAGCCATAGCCTACCATATGGATAACAGGAGAGAGTTGAGTTGGTCAGTAGTGCTTCATAGCCTACCATATGGATAACAGGAGAGAGTTGAGTTGGTCAGTAGTGCTTCATAGCCTACCATATGGATAACAGGAGAGAGTTGAGTTGGTCAGTAGTGCTTCATAGCCTACCATATGGATAACAGGAGAGAGTTGAGTTGGTCAGTAGTGCTTCATAGCCTACCATATGGATAACAGGAGAGAGTTGAGTTGGTCAGTAGCGCTTCATAGCCTACCATATGGATAACAGGAGAGAGTTGAGTTGGTCAGTAGTGCTTCATAGCCTACCATATGGATAACAGGAGAGAGTTGAGTTGGTCAGTAGTGCTTCATAGCCTACCATATGGATAACAGGAGAGAGTTGAGTTGGTCAGTAGTGCTTCATAGCCTACCATATGGATAACAGGAGAGAGTTGAGTTGGTCAGCAGCGCTTCATAGCCTACCATATGGATAACAGGAGAGAGTTGAGTTGGTCAGCAGCGCTTCATAGCCTACCATATGGATAACAGGAGAGAGTTGAGTTGGTCAGTAGTGCTTCATAGCCTACCATATGGATAACAGGAGAGAGTTGAGTTGGTCAGTAGCAGCACTATATTATGATGATGCAGAAAAAGGCAGGTGTATTATTCAGGCTATATTGTCAATCACTAAATGTAATATCAGATATAAAAAAAAGAAGTCCAGTGTCATACAATTTCTTTACAATTCAGAACCTAGTCTAAATAGCCAACACTTATCCCACATGCATTTGTTCTCGATATAGCTCTTTCATATCAATAAGAAAAATGTCTACAAATGTGAAGGAAAGAAAAGCATTTTGTTATGTCCCTAGAATACAAAACAAGCTTCAGGTTGATCACTAACAGACCAACGGCCAATATCATTAACCTCATATAAAACACTGTTTTCTCGTTTAATTCACAGTAGTTTAAAGACATACAACTGCCAAACCTACGGTTAAAATAAAGTTGAATGCCTCCCGAGTGGCGCAGCGGTCAATGGCACTGGGAGACCCGTGAGGCGGCCTACAATTGGCCCAGCGTCGTGAGGGTTAGGGGAGGGTTTGGCCGGCCGGGATTTCCTTGTCCCATCGCACTCTAGCGACTCCTTGTGTCAGGCCGGGCGCCTGCAGGCTGACTTCGGTCGCCTGCTGGATGGTGTTTCCTCCGACACATTGGTGCGGCTGACTTCCGGGTTAAGCGAGCGGTGTGTCAAGATGCAGTGAGGCTTGGCAGGGTTGAGTTTCGGAGGACGCATGGCTATCGACCTTTACGTCACCGAGTCCTTGGGGAGTTGCAGTAATGGGACAAGACTGTAACTACCAATTTGGATATCACAAAATTGGGGGTGAAAAGTTGAATAAAAGTGTTCTGACCCAATGACAGAAAATCTGAGAATGCAAACATGTTTTTAGATATTTTATTAATTTCACATACATAAAATCAAATAAAAAAATCTCGAAAGGTCGGGGGAAAAACTTACTATGCATAAAATGACAGGACACTCAAAGCCGCCAGATGCTCTTTAAAGCGTGATGATACTGTAGAAACTGATAATTCATGCTTTCACAAAAAAATTAGAAAAGTAGTTTCAATTTCATTGGGTCTTTACATCACATATCGACATTTAGAACAATATCTAAAGTCCAATAGGCTAGGCCTACGCTAATAAAATCCACACGAAGAAAATACGTCATCTGTGTGACACCATGGACATGTTTAGAATCATTGAAAAAAGAAGCGAGAGTAGGATAGCGTTGTTTTTATAGAGGTTATATACATTCACATCTCGAAGCCCCCACATTACATTAAACAACATCAGTTGATAGTGACACTGGTTTTTAGCACAGACACAGCACATGCCTTGACTACATAACGTGATTTTCCCTCTTTGACCATTACAGGACAAAGGAAATAACACTGTGCTGTCCAGCAACGCAACCTGCTGAGGTGAAGCTTATAACATTTAAAGGATACGCTATAAAGGGGACATCTCAATGTCTTCTGCTTTTTACCAGTTATGAGGTCTGTTTAAACTGTAGAAAAACTGTGCTTGCAGTAGTCTAGTGTTACTGTAAGAGGAATGGTGTAAGTTTTATGTGCAGTGCATTCAGAAAGTATTCAAACCCCTTGACTTTTTCCACATTTTGTTACATTAAAACCTTATTTTAAAATTGATTAAATAGTTTTTTTTTTCCCCCTCATCAATCTACACAAAATACCCCATAATGACAAAGCACAAACAGGTTTGTAGAAATATTTGCAAATCTATATAATATTTACATAAGTATTCAGACCCTTTACTCAGTACTTTGGCAGTGATTACAGCCTTGAGTCTTCTTGAGTATGACACTACAAGCTTGGCACAACTGAATTTATTTCATTCCTCTCTGCAGATCCTCTCAAGCTCTGTCAGGTTGGATGGGGAGCGTTGCTGCACAGCTATTTTCAGGTCTCTCCATAGATGTTTGATCGGGTTCAAGTCTGGGCTCTGGCTGGGCCACTGAAGGACATTCAGAGACTTGTCCCAATGCCACTCCTACCTTGTCTTGGCTGTGTGCTTAGGGTCGTTGTCCTGTTGGAAGGTGAACCTTCGCCCCAGTCTGAGGTCCTGAGCGCTCTGGAGCAGGTTCTCAGCAAGGATCTCTCTACTTTGCTCCATTCATCTTTTCCTCGATCCTGACTAGTCTCCCAGTCCCTGCTGCCACCACCATGCTTCACCGTAGAGAAAGTGCAAGATTTCCTCCAGACGTGATGCTTGGCATTCAGGCCAAAGACTTCAATCTTGGTTTCATCAGACCAGAGAATCTTGTTTCTCATGGTCTGAGAGTCTTTTGGTGCCTTTTGGTAAACTCCAAGAGGGCTGTCATGTGCCTTTTATTGAGGAGTGGCTTCCGTCTGGCCACTCTACCATAAAGGCCTGATTAGTGGAGTGCTGCAGAGATGGTTGTCCTTCTGGAAGGTTCTCACATCTCCACAGAGGAACTCTGGAGCTCTGTCAGAGTGACCATCGGATTCTTGGTCACCTCCCTGACCAAAGCCCTTCTCCCCCGATTGCTCAGTTTGGACGGGCGGCCAGCTCTAGGAAGAGTCTTTGTGGTTCCAAACTTCTTCCATTTAAGAATGATGGAGGCCACTGTGTTCTTGGGACCTTCAATGCTGCAGAAATGTTTTGGTACCCTTAACCAGATCTGTGCCTCAACACAATCCTGTCTCAGAGCTCTAAGGACAATTCCTTCGACCTCATGGCTTGGTTTTGCTCTGACATGCACTGTCAACTGTGGGACCATATATAGACAGGTGTGTGCCTTTCCAAATCTTGTCCAATCAATAGAATTTACCACAAGTGGACTCCAATCAATCAAGTTGTAGAAACATCTCAAGGATGATCAATGGAAACAGGATGCACCTGAGCTCAATTTCGAGTCTCTTAGCAAAGGGTCTGAATACTTATAGTCCATTCAGAAAGTATTTAGACCCCTCGACTTTTTCCACATTTTGTTACGTTACAGCCTTATAAATTAATTGATTTCCTCATTAATCTACACACAATACCCTATAATGACAAAGCAAAAACAGTTTTTTTGGAATTTTTGCAAATGTATTAAAAATAAAAAACAGAAATAATAGCTAAGGAGATGGAGAAGATTCTGCCGTTTGATTGCAAATATGCAGACTGAGTCAAAAAGAGAACACACAGAAGGCTGTTGTATAAAACACCTGTCTCCAGACATCTTCAAACTAAGGGCAACCATGGCATCCGTGACAGAGAGGGAGAAGCATCCATCCATGTATACGGGTAAGATAGTCTAGCTTACTTTTTTTCACCTAGTCGGCTCGGGGATTAGAATCAGCGACCTTTCGGTTACTGGCACAACGCTCTTAACCACTAAGCTACCTGCCTTAATAATTTTTTGGTTACTACATGATTCCATATGTTTTATTTCGTAGTTTTGATGTTTTCACTATTTTTCTACAATGTAAAAAATAGTAAAAATAAAGAATGACCAGGTGTGTCCAAACTTTTGACCTGTTTTTGCTTTGTCATTATGGGGTATTGTGTGTAAATTGATGAGAAAAAAATACATATTTAATCCATTTTAGAATAAGGCTGTAACGTAACAAAATGTGGAAAAAGTCAAGGAGTCTGAATACTTTCCGAAGGCACTGTATACAATACCATTAGTTTTACTGCAAAATTGTTCCTTTTGACGATTTCTTACTTGGGGTATAACGGGTTACCACTTACTTTGTGAGGTAAAATGAGCCTTTATCATATTAATGTAAATAATGATCTGTGTTACCTGGTTTCAAGTGCAGTTGAAAGTAACTATTTTACACGCTCTTTCTCCTCTGATAGTATCACATGGCTCTGCTCAGCGACTCGGCTCTTTGTAGTTACCGTTTCCATCCTCCGAGATATTCACTGCCTCGGCGCCCAATGGTAATCTATCGCTGTACTCCGAACCCGCCTCAAATTTTGATGTAGAACCCAGGATAGACTCGGTAACCACACTCCCCTCCTCCCCGTCCTCTCCCTCTTCCCCCTCTCCTTCTCCCATCTCACTTGGGTTAAAATTATTCTCTGACTCAACAAACGACTCCCGGGGGTCGAAATCACCTCCGACCATCTGTTTCTCCATTTGATCTGGGTTCTTCTGCGCTGCCTTCATGATCAGTTCGTAAGTTTTTCCCTGGTACTTGTATAAGAGATGACAGCAGGTGGCACCCAGCAGAGGGACTGTAGCCAGCGCCAACAGGAAGGTACTAACCACCACTATGATTAGCAGAGAAGGAATCTTCTTCCTGGTTGTGAAGACTACCTGGACCTGACAGTCCTGACCTCCATAGGTCAGACACAGGGTGTAGTTAGTGCCTGGTTGTAGGCCCTGGAACTTGTAGGCGTTGATTCCTTCCTCTATCCGGGACCACTGCACCACAGAGTGTCCGTTACCAGTATTAAAACACAGATAGAGCACGTCCAGAGGGGCTGTTTGGGTCCAGGCTTGATAGAGGCTGAACGGCTCTTTGTTGACGGTCTCTAGGTTCTCATTGTGGCTGAGGTGGAGGTTGTTCTTACTGTTGGGGAGCTGGAGGGGATTCAGCTGCACTTTGGCCTCGGTCTCGGACACTTCCAACGCAATGACGCCGAAATCAAAGGTGTACTGCTTCAGCTGGTCCAGACTGAGGTTGAATGCGTGGTTGGAGATGTACTGAGTGCCATCGCTGATGCCACACTTACTGGCAAACGGTAGCTCCTCTGAGCCCTCGCCAGCCTGCGCTGAGCCCCATCGCCGTGTTTACCAGACGACCCAGTTGGAACGGTCTTGGTCTTCTCAGAGTTGGACTTGGGCCAGTTGATGACGTTGCTGGTCATCTTAAGCCCCGGCTTGTTTCCACCAGACGGACGGAGGATCTTATCTGCTGTGGAGTCCAGCATGGAGTTAATGGCCTGTTTTTTGCTGCCCGCCACTACTACCTTCACTGTGCTGTCTGCTTTACCGAGGTCGTTGACAGCTGAGCAGCTGTAGTTCCCATCCTCCTTCTTGCTCATACGGGGGATGATCATGGTGCCGTTCTGGAAGACCAGGAACCGGCCGTTGGTGGTTTTATCGTTGATGGGCGAGTCGCTCTTCGCGCTGACAACAGAGGGCAAACTGAATGTGAACTTCTGGTTCCCTGCATTCACCACCTCCCAGCTGACCTCTGGTTTGGGGTTGCCCTTGGTCTCACAATTGAGAATCACCATAAAGCCCTCGTATAGCTCAGTGTTGTCCAGGTTGGGCTGGTAGGTGATGGACACCGTTGGGGCCTTGCAGTCCAGCTTGGGCATCTTGGTCACCAGGGCCCCTTTCAGATGCTCTGGGGCCTCACAGACGATAGAGTCCTGCTCTGGGACAGAGATCTTAGACTCTGTGATCCAGTCTTTCAGCCACTCCAGACTGCAGGAGCAGGTGAATGGGTTGTTGTAGATCTGCAGGTGAGACATGGAGCTCAGAGAGCTGAAGGTCCCCTGGACTATAGTGGTGAACCTGTTGTTGTTGATCCTCAGGGACCTCAGGTCTTTGAGGGTGGAGAAGGCGTCTTTAGGGAGGTTGATCATCTCGTTGTTGTTCATCTTGAGCAGCTGAAGGGCGGTGAGGTCGGCCAGGTCCTCCCAGGGGAAGTTGATTATCTTGTTGTAGCTGAGGTCCAGGTTGCGGAGCTGGATCAGCAGGGCCAAGGTGTCCTTCTCCATGGTCACGATCTCATTGTGGGCCAGCCATAGGGAGGTCACCTGAAGAAGAATACTTTATTAATGTGTATTTTGCTGTACCCAGCCCATCCCATGTAATATAATAATATAATATATGCCATTTAGCAGACAGTGACTTACAGTCATGCATTCATACGTTTGTCATATGGCTGGCCCCAATGGGAATCAAACCCACAATCCTTGGTGTTGCAAGAACCATGCTCTACCAACATTTTCACACACATACACACCTGGGTGACATTAATAAAGCTCTTGGCCTTCAGGAGTTTGATCTTGTTGGCGGAGAGAGAGAGGGTGGTGACGTTGGAGGGGAGGCCTACGGGAACTAACAGCAGGTCTTTGTAGGCACAGTCAGCGACGTGGTGGGCATATTTATCCAGACAGCTACAGGTCTCTGGACAACACTGGGCCAGACCCAACACAGAGGTCCACACTGCCAGGACACAGACAAGCCAACACGACGCCATGTTCACCACCTGAGAACACACAGATATAAGATGTTAATTAACAATTTGAGATTATTTTCTGCTACTCTATACAGATCTTTAAGATACAAAGGCCATACATCATAATGTTCTACACATAAATAATCCTTATCATAATGCATTGAGACATCCTGTTGCATTACATCACTACATCACGACACTACATCACTACATCATGACACTACATCACGACACTACATTACATCACTACACAATATCACTACATCATTACACTACATCACTATGCTACATCACTATGCTACATCACTATGCTACATCACTACACTACATCACCATATCAAGACATCACTTCACTACTGTACATCACTACACCACGACACTACATCACTACGTCACTACACTACATCACTACAGTACATCACTACACAATATCACTACATCACTACACTACATCACTACACTACAGAGTACATCATTACATCACTACACTACATCACTATGCTACAACTCACTACTACTACATCACTACACAATATCACTACATCACTACACTACATCACTACACTACATCACTACAGTACATCACCATATCAAGACATCACTTCACTACACTACATCACTACACTACATCACGACACTACATCACGACACTACATCACTACGTCACTACACTACATCACTACAGTACATCACTACACAATATCACTACATCACTACACTACATCACTACACTACATCACTACAGTACATCACTACACAATATCACTACATCACTACACTACATCACTACACTACATCACTACAGTACATCACTACACAATATCACTACATCACGACACTACATCACTACACTACATCACTACATCACGACACTACACTACAGAGTACATCACTACATCACGACACTACATCACTACGTCACTACACTACATCACTACAGTACATCACGACACTACATCACGACACTACATCACTACGTCACTACACTACATCACTACAGTACATCACTAAACAATATCACTACATCACTACACTACATCACTACAGTACATCACTACACAATATCACTACATCACTACAAACTACATCACTACACTACATCACTACAGTACATCACTACACAATATCACTACATCACTACATCACGACACTACATCACGACACTACATCACTACGTCACTACTACACATCACTACAGTACATCAACCTAACACATATCACTACACATCACTACACTACATCACTACAGTACATCACTACACAATAATCACTAACATCCACTACACTACATCACTACACTACATCACTATGCTACATCACTACACTACGTCACTACAGTACATCACTACACAATATCACTACATCACTACACTACATCACTACACTACAGAGTACATCACTACATCACTACACTACAACACTACATTACAACACTACATCACTACACAATATCACTACATCACTACATCACTACACTACATCCCTACACTGCCAAGTACATCCACTAACATCACTACACTACATCACTAAGTACATCACTAAACAATCATACACTACATCATGACACTACATCACGACACTACCTACATCAATATATCAAGACATCACTTCACGACACTACATCACGACACTACATCATGACACTACATCACTACACAATATCACTACATTACAACACTAACAAGATACATCTCTACATTACACACTACACTACATCACACTAACACTACATTACATCACTAACTACACTCACTACATCACTATAGATACAACTACATCACACACACTCACAACACATCACTACAACAACACGACACACATATCATACATCACTACATCTACATACACCACTACATACACACTTACTAACCATCTATATCAAGACATCACAACACTACAACAACTACACACTACACTACATCACTACATACCTACACACATACACACTCACACTAATCAAACATCAAACAACACACACATCACACACTACATCACACACAATACATCACTACATACAGTACTAAATTACATTACTACATTACATCACTACATTACATCACTACATTACATCACTACAATCACTACATTACATCACTACACTACATTACATCACTACACTACATTACATCACTACACTACATTACATCACTACATTACTACATCAATACATGCACTACACTAAATCCAAATACAAATACATAACTACATTACATCACTACACTACATCACTGCACTAAATCACTACACTACATAACTACATTACATCACTACACTACATCACTACATTACTACACTACATCACTACATTACATCACTACACTACATCACTACATCACTACACTACATCACTGCACTACATCACTGCACTAAATCACTACACTACATAACTACATTACATCACTACACTACATCACTACATTACATCACTACACTAAATCACTACACTACATAACTACATTACATCACTACACTACATCACTGCACTAAATCACTACACTACATAACTACATTACATCACTACACTACATCACTACATTACTACATTACATCACTACATCACTACACTACATCACTACAGTACATCACGACACTACATCACTACTCACTACACTACATCACTACAGTACATCACTACACAAATCACTACATCACTACTACACTACATCACTACACTACATCACTACAGTACATCACTACACAATATCTCTACATCACTACACTACATCACTACACTACAACAAAATCACTAGACTACACACTACACTACGTCACTACAGTACATCACTACACATATCAACTACATCACTACACTACATCACTACACCTACAGAGTACATCACTACATCACTACACTACAACACTACATTACAACACTACATCACTACACAATATCACTACATCACTACATCACTACACTACATCACTACACTACAGAGTACATCATTACATAACTACATTACATCACTATAGTACATCACTACACAATATCACTACATCACTACACTACATCCCTACACTGCAGAGTACATCACTACATCACTACACTACATCACTATAGTACATCACTACACAATATCACTACATCATGACACTACATCACGACACTACGCTACATCAATATATCAAGACATCACTTCACGACACTACATCACGACACTACATCATGACACTACATCACTACACAATATCACTACATCACAACACTACAGAGTACATCTCTACATTACATCACTACACTACATCACTACACTACATTACATCACTACACTACATCACTACATCACTATATCAAGACATCACAACACTACACTACATCACTACACTACATCACTACACTACATCACTACATCACTATATCAAGACATCACAACACTACACTACAACACTACACTACATCACTACATTACTACACTACATCACTATATCAAGACATCACAACACTACATCACAACACTACATCACAACACTACATCACTACATTACATTACTACATTACATCACTACATTACATCACTACATTACATCACTACATAACTACATTATATCACTACATAACTACATTACATCACTACACTATACATTACATCACTACACTACATTACATCACTACATTACTACATTACATCACTACACTAAATCACTACACTACATAACTACATTACATCACTACACTACATCACTACACTAAATCACTACACTACATAACTACATTACATCACTACACTACATCACTACATACTAACTACATCACTACATTACATCACTACACTACATCACTACATCACTACACTACATCATTGGACTACATCACTGCACTAAATCACTACACTACATAACTACATTACATCACTACACTACATCACTACATTACATCACTACACTAAATCACTACACTACATAACTACATTACATCACTACACTACATCACTGCACTAATCACTACACTAAAACACATTACATCACTACCTACACACTACATTACTACATACATCACTACTACTACTTACATCACTACATACATCACTACACTACATCACTACACACTACATAAACATACACTACATCACACACTATCACTGCACAATCACTACCACTACTACATACACACTACAATCGACAATACAACTAATTAATTACATCACACAGTTACATCACCACACAAATCATACATCACTACACAAATACTAAACACAAACAAAACTACATTACACACTAACATCACTACATTACATACACACTAATACATTATAACATCAACATTATCATAATACTACAAACTACATATCATACTACATACAATACAATACTCACAATCACTACATACATACACTACATCACAAATACATCCCCACATCATGCACTAATCACTACACACATACTCAACATCACTACACTAACACAACATCACACCTAAATCACAACACTACATCACAACACTACATCACAACACTACATAACTACATTAAGTTTCCCATGTGTATTAATTTTAAGAATGGTCCACTACCCAAAGGACATCCAGCCAACTTGACAGAACTGTGGGAAGTATTGGAGTCAACATGGGCCAGCGTCCCTGGGGAACGCTTTCGACACCTTGTAGAGTCCATGCCCTGAACAAATTGAGGCTGTTCTGAGGGCAAAAGGGGGTGCAACTCAAAATTAGGAAGGTGTTCCTAATGTTTTGTACACTCAGTGTATATTTTCAACGTCATTTTTACATACGAAATATAACCTCACTAACTACAGTTATTTCTGAACAAAGAAAACACAACTGTCATGTCTTTTTTCATGCTGAGAAATGTAACATTAATTAAACATGGAATGGATCTAAAGTTAAAGTTTGATAATGCATCAATCTAATCCTATTTGTCCATATTACTACCAAATAAACATCATATTGGGGTCATAATGCATGTTCATATAAGTAATTTACATAATTATCTCCAGTTTACTTTCTGATATCAATCAACTTACCTGTCTGAAATTCATTTCCAATCCTTGCAGTTTTCCTAACTGGGCACTATCTGGATTATATATTCTTTATAACACAGATTAGTGGTCTGTAGTAGATCCTTTTATTTGACTTTTCTCCACGCTGATAAAGGTAGGCGGTGGAGGAGTAGGATGATGCGGTGCGATCCGGAGGCTGTTTTCCTCTGGCGACTGACTGAGAGGACGAACGGCCCACTGCGCGCTCCCGCCGTCAGTCACAGAGCGATGGGGGAGTTTGTGACCGCGCATGCAGCCTCTCCCATTCCTTCACCATATCCACGAAAAATATTGATATTTAATTCATTGTCATGTCGACCTAAACTCATCTGACGCCATTCTCCCCAGTGTTGGTTTTTCCCGTAACAGGCTTGAGAGGTTTGACCGACCTAAACATAAAAGATTAGGAGTTATTTGTAAAAAATTATGAGTTGTGCACTGTTGAGTTGGGGATTTAAATAGGCCAGAATGGTTGTAACGAAAAATGTTATTGTTGCCGTATTTGGATGAAAGCTAAAAATAAAAAATCACATTGACAGAACAGGAAAATGTGAGGTCCCTGAATTGCTGTCGAAATTATATGGCTACACGATAATACATTTTATAATTATGATTAATTGGAAAATATGTATATAGCACTGCAGTGTAAAAATTAAATATGTCTGAAAAAGGCAGTTAGATGGTTTAATGTTTAATTTATTTTCACCAAAGAAAATAAGTGATAAACAACAATACAGATAAAAACAAATCAATAATAAACGGTGTGCAGGTGGTTGGAAGCCCAGGGGCTGATATAAAAACCACACCATAAAAAACGAAACACAATACATAAATACAAAAATAAAAAAGGTTTGTTAAAACATAACAAAACCCACTAATCATAAATGTATAAATGAACCAAACAGTAATCAAAACAACAACAAAAACGTATATGTTTTGAAGGAATAAAGGAAAACAGTAAAATATTGACCTTATATAGAAATCAAATCATCCACAATATCAGAGGTGTTGGCTATAGGCCGACTTCTGGATAAAGTCTACAATGGGGTGGCGCACAATTGGCCCAGCGTCGTCCAGGGTAGGGGAGGGAATGGCCCAGCGTCGTCCAGGGTAGGGGAGGGAATGGCCCAGCGTCGTCCAGGGTAGGGGAGGGAATGGCCCAGCGTCGTCCAGGGTAGGGGAGGGAATGGCCCAGCGTCGTCCAGGGTAGGGGAGGGAATGGCCCAGCGTCGTCCAGGGTAGGGGAGGGAATGGCCCAGCGTCGTCCAGGGTAGGGGAGGGAATGGCCCAGCGTCGTCCAGGGTAGGGGAGGGAATGGCCCAGCGTCGTCCAGGGTAGGGGAGGGAATGGCCCAGCGTCGTCCAGGGTAGGGGAGGGAATGGCCCAGCGTCGTCCAGGGTAGGGGAGGGAATGGCCCAGCGTCGTCCAGGGTAGGGGAGGGAATGGCCAGCAGGGATGTAGCTCAGTTGATAGAGCATGGTGTTTGCAACGCCAGGGTTGTGGGTTCGATTCCCATGGGGGGCCAGTATGAAAAAAATAATAATGTATGCACTCACTAACTGTAAATCGCTCTGGATAAGAGCGTCTGCTAAATGACTAAAAAAATATATATATAAAAAAAATGTTTGACCTGCTGTTGTCCAGTAACAGCCTAATATCAGGATGCATACTTTCTTCAATGACTACAAATTAAACTTGATTCTGAAATAAAACCTATGCCTTACAATGTATCTATTTTTCCTCACCCCTCAAACAGGGAAATACATGTTCTGTCTTCCTTTTAATACTGTTCTAGTGCTTTGCCTGTTGTGTTGTTGTGTGTTTCCATAGGCTACATTCCGTGGCTCAGTAAACAAATGGACCACTGCGCTAAACAAGCCCACTGTCCTTTCCCTCTCTCCCACGACCCCCCTTTACTATCCATGTACCCCATCTAGTGTCTCTCCGGAGTACTACACCACACTCTACACCCCACAGAGAGCAGGCTAGTGGGGTCACAGACAGCAGGCTAGTGGGGTCACAGACAGCAGGCTAGTGGGGCCACAGACAGCAGGCTAGTGGGGCCACAGACAGCAGGCTAGTGGGGTCACAGACCGCAGGCTAGTGGGGTCACAGACCGCAGGCTAGTGGGGCCACAGACAGCAGGCTAGTGGGGTCACAGACAGCAGGCTAGTGGGGTCACAGACAGCAGGCTAGTGGGGCCACAGACAGCAGGCTAGTGGGGTCTCAGACAGCAGGCTAGTGGGGTCACAGACCGCAGGCTAGTGGGGCCACAGACAGCAGGCTAGTGGGGTCACAGACAGCAGGCTAGTGGGGTCACAGACAGCAGGCTAGTGGGGCCACAGACAGCAGGCTAGTGGGGTCACAGACAGCAGGCTAGTGGGGTCACAGACAGCAGGCTAGTGGGGTCACAGACCGCAGGCTAGTGGGGTCACAGACAGCAGGCTAGTGGGGTCACAGACAGCAGGCTAGTGGGGTCACAGACAGCAGGCTAGTGGGGTCACAGAAAGCAGGCTAGTGGGGTCACAGACAGTAGGCTAGTGGGGTCACAGAAAGCAGGCTAGTGGGGTCACAGACAGCAGGCTAGTGGGGTCACAGACAGTAGGCTAGTGGGGTCACAGACAGTAGGCTAGTGGGGTCACAGACAGCAGGCTAGTGGGGTCACAGACAGCAGGCTAGTGGGGTCACAGACAGCAGGCTAGTGGGGTCACAGAAAGCAGGCTAGTCGGGTCACAGACAGCAGGCTAGTGGGGTCACAGACAGCAGGCTAGTGGGGTCACAGACAGTAGGCTAGTGGGGTCACAGACAGCAGGCTAGTGGGGTCACAGAAAGCAGGCTAGTGGGGTCACAGACAGCAGGCTAGTGGGGTCACAGACAGCAGGCTAGTGGGGTCACAGACAGCAGGCTAGTGGGGTCACAGACAGCAGGCTAGTGGGGTCACAGACAGCAGGCTAGTGTGGTCACAGACAGCAGGCTAGTGGGGTCACAGACAGTCACAGACAGCAGGCTAGTGGGGGTCACAGACAGCAGGCTAGTGGGGTCACAGACCGCAAGCTTGTGGGGTCACAGACAGCAGGCTAGTGGGGTCACAGAAAGCAGGCTAGTGGGGTCACAGACCGCAGGCTAGTGGGGTCACAGACCGCAAGCTTGTGGGGTCACAGACCGCAGGCTAGTGGGGTCACAGACAGCAGGCTAGTGGGGTCACAGACAGCAGGCTAGTGGGGTCACAGACCGCAAGCTTGTGGGGTCACAGACAGCAGGCTAGTGGGGTCACAGACAGCAGGCTAGTGGGGTCACAGACCGCAAGCTTGTGGGGTCACAGACCGCAGGCTAGTGGGGTCACAGACAGCAGGCTAGTGGGGTCACAGACAGCAGGCTAGTGGGGGTCACAGACCGCAAGCTTGTGGGGTCACAGACAGCAGGCTAGTGGGGTCACAGAAAGCAGGCTAGTGGGTCACAGACCGCAGGCTAGTGGGGTCACAGACCGCAAGCTTGTGGGGTCACAGACCGCAGGCTAGTGGGGTCACAGACAGCAGGCTAGTGGGGTCACAGACAGCAGGCTAGTGGGGTCACAGACCGCAAGCTTGTGGGGGTCACAGACAGCAGGCTAGTGGGGTCACAGACAGCAGGCTAGTGGGGTCACAGACCGCAAGCTTGTGGGGTCACAGACAGCAGGCTAGTGGGGTCACAGACAGCAGGCTAGTGGGGTCACAGACCGCAAGCTTGTGGGGTCATGTCTTAGTGGGGGAAGTCAGAAAACTGTAACTACACAGGACAGCTGACCTGACATGATCCCTTCAGATCATTATCTAACTATTCCTCTCACAATAATCACAGATGTCTGATATGAGAGGGGGAAACCCATCACAGATGTCTGATAAGAGAGGGGAAACCCATCACAAATGTCTCCGATTATTGTCCAGTCATTATGGTCAAGTGCTGCAAAGAAGAACCTAGGAAAACTGCAGCTGTCCCAGAACAGAGCGGCACGTCTTGTTCTTCATTGTAATCAGAGGGATAATGTAAATACTACACACATGGAAATACTTTTTATTTTATTTTATTTCACCTTTATTTAACCAGGTAAGCCAGTTCAGAACAAGTTCTCATTTACAACTGCGACCTGGCCAAGATAAAACAAAGCAGTGCGATAAAAACAACAACAACACAGAGTTACATATGGGGTAAACAAAACGTACAGTCAATAACACAATAGAAAATAGAAAATGATAGATGTGCAGAAGATGATGTGCAAATAGAGATACTGGGGTGCAAATGAGCAAAATAAATAACAATATAGGGATGAGGTAGTTGGGTGGGATAATTTCAGATGGGCTGTGTACAGGTGCAGTGATCGGTAAGCTGCTCTGACAACTGATGCTTAAAGTTAGTGAGGGAGATAAGAGTCTCCAGCTTCAGAGATTTTTGCAATTTGTTCCAGTCATTGGCAGCAGAGAACTGGAAGGAATGGCGGCCAAAGGAGGTGTTGGCTTTGGGAATGACCAGTGAGATATACCTGCTGGAGCGCATACTACGGGTTGGTGTTGCTATGGTGACCAATGAGCTAAGATAAGGCGGGGATTTGCCTAGCAGAGATTTATAGATGACCTGGAGCCAGTGGGTTTGGCGACGAATATGTAGTGAGGGCCAGCCAACAAGAGCGTACAGGTCACATTGGTGGGTAGTGTATGGGGCTTTGGAGACAAAACGGATGGCACTGTGATAGACTACATCCAATTTGCTGAGTAAAGTGTTGGAGGCTATTTTGTAAATGACAACGCCGAAGTCAAGGATCGGTAGGATAGTCAGTTTTACGAGGGCATGTTTAGCAGCATGAGTGAAGGAGGCTTTGTTGCGAAATAGGAAGCCGATTTCTAGATGTAACTTTGGATTGGAGATGCTTAATGTGAGTCTGGAAGGAGAGTTTACAGTCTAACCAAACACCTAGGTATTATACTACACACATGTAAATACATACACACACATAAAAACTACACACA